AGAAAAAAAATCTGTCCACGTAGTATGCTAGCCGTGTTATATATCTATGATGCTTGCAGCGGCGCTCTTTGACTGACGTAACAGTTATTGTTGTTTCCACGGTAACGCGCTTGATTTTTAAATGTATCTATTTGTTAGATTTGAAAGTAATCTATGAAATATTTTAGATTAAAAAAAAAAAAAAAAAAAAGATTATTTGTTGAAAAAAAAAAAATGATATCATGATAATTTAAATTAATGAATCTGAAAACTTTTCACGGACCCCCTGGCAGAGTGCCACGGACCCCCGGGGGTCGCGGACCCCACTTTGAGAACCACTGCTGTAGGGTAGCAAACGTTTTATGAGGATGAAGCAAACGGAGGAGAAATATCTGCTGTCAATAGTGTTGGAAACTGAATTAGGAGAGCATTTTTCCTTATGACTTGAAACTTTTATGTTGCAAATATCTGTTTGCATCTCACAAATGTATGTATTACTTACAATAAGCAGTAATGATTCCACTGTATTAAATGTAACATTCTGATCTTGTTGATCTTATTATATTTACATGTATAGTGACTGCTGCATTTACTTGGTCACAATTTCTAATCTGTTTCTGCTTTTGCTTTTTTTGTTGTGTTACATTTGTTTTATGTCTTATATATTAATTTCTCATTGTTGGAGGCGCCTGGACTTAAAATTGTCATGGCCATAACTACAGTGTAGCTACCGTGAAAATGACAAAGCCTTTGACTCTTGAAACTTTGACATCACTACTGTGGTCCTTTTATAGGAAGCACAGATATACATTGCTCTTTGTTTATCTGTATTTGTCTAATTTGTAGACAGTTGGGCTGCCTTAAGTCTCCAATGAAGGCCATCCTATGCATTTTCTGTGTTGTCAATTTTATCTTCAGTTAAAATGGTTTCCCATGCACAAACAACTTCTATTTAGATTTGTAGTTACAACCTCCCACATTTATGGGTAACCCTGGGTCAAAAAGGATGCTTGGGTCATTCTTTTTATGCCTTTCTCCACTCCCACTTTAGCATGATCTACTGCTGAGGTCAAATCTCATTCCTCAGTACCATAGGTGCTAATGTCCATTCATTCCAATTCCTGGGGCTACTCTGACACTTCCCAGGTCACCCAGGCCCATGGGACATGTATCAGTATCACATCTCAAACTCTACTTGTCAGACCATTAGTAATCAAAGATCATAAGTCTTTCAAGCACAACAATGCATTTTCCCGTTGGGTATATCATCATCTTTATTTAAAGAGACTCTTGGTCCATTACAAAACATACAACACTCAAATAAGTAAAAATATATCCCTCGGTAACTATATGGATTCTATATAATGGATTGATGTGCATCATGTGAGATTATTACTGCCTACTTGTGGGAGTTAAGGGAGAATAAAGGGTAAAGGTAAAGACTGACCCACGCAGTATGAATGTATGGCAGTACAAATATGCTGATTCCATTGCAGTGATGCATTGCACACTTACTCACAGCTTGCTTTTGTGGGTTAGGGTTAAAAAGTTAATATAGAGTTTTTAAAGTCTTGTTGGCATTTTATTAGTCTCTATTAAGAGGTTGTGTTCTTGTGTTGCTAAAGAGTGGTGGAGAAGTCATTTAGGGTCCCTGGGAAGCACAATGCTCGTATTATTCGTCAATTAATTGTTTAGTTGATAGTACAATTCTGATTATAATCTTCTATGGTCAAAATTAAATTGTAATAAAAGGTTAAAGTTACCATTCCAGTAAAACTCGAGATGGTGCTGGCTTTATAAATGAATAATTCGTTTTTGCTTTCCGTTGTTGGTCAGAGAAAGTTAGAAAATGTACTCAATCAAGTGAGGCTAAATGATTAATTGACTTATTTATAAGTATCATTGATAGATATATTCAGTGAAATATTTAAGTTGTTTGGGAAAGCCCAGGACTTGTGTAGTGCTAGTTGAGGACACGGGAGGTCCTATATAGAGACAACATGCCCCCCTGTGAGGTCATGTTAATGCTAAACTAGCATTCTGGTAGCATTTAGTACGATCTAAAATTGCTTACCAACAGAGGAGTTTGAGCAGCATAACACAGTCAAAATTCACTGTTTTGTGTTACACTGCTGCATGAAAATCACACTTAATGACACTTAGCCTGAGTAAGAGTTGGTTGTTATGCAGGACACAGTTGAGTTGGAAGAAGACTTTGAGCAGTGATGTTTGTTTCCTACCTCTTTCATTTTCTCTTAAGAGTGAATCACACAGATTGTTTTCCCCTTGGGACCAAGTCATCATTAGAGGAATATTATGGTCATGTTCTTTCCTACTTTTTGTTGGGACATTTTGAAAACAATGTCCTTAAATGTGCGTGGCATGACTGACAATAATAAATTAAAAAAACATCAAGTATTTTTTTTGGCTTTAAACAAGTTACATATGTGTATCCTCTAGGAGTGTAACCAGGGCTCGACATTAAGGACTGCCCGATGGCCCGGGGCCATCTAGTATTTAGCTCGGGCAATGAAGCCTCACTTGCTGGTTGCCCGATCGGGCAATCTATTATGCCAGTATCATGCAGCTCGCGGATCCAGTAATGAGTGACCCGACAGTAAAACTAAACATATCTATAACTAGTTTAGGTAGTTTGAGAGGTAATTAAAATAGCTACGTGTGATATTCTAACCTGAAGTGTGTGTTTTGTCCGCTCACCGCTGCATGTGATCATGCAGAGCTGCGTGTCGACTCGTCAGCAGCAGCTGATCTCTCTCTCCCGTCAGATTAGACTTCACTCGCGTTTATGTCCATATCAATCAGATCTAGCTAGTTCTAGCTAATGATATGACTACCTGCTTATTAAAAGACACCTAAACAATAAGTGTCGCTATGCAACTGGGTGAGGCCACAAAGTATAGCGCAGCATTATGCATTTGTTTACATGCCCACCGGAACCCCGAGGCATTACCAACAGATCAACGCACAATCAACCCATACAGGACATCTCTTTCTTTAGACATTAGAATTGACTATTCTTGTCTGTCACATACTCTTCTTGTCTGTCACATAAGTGGCGCAACTGAAGCGGTATTGCGCTAAAGGGAAATTATTTTGACCGAAGAGATTTAGATTTGCCGGCTAACGGGAAATCTGACGTCGCCATTTTGTGTGCTTCGCGGATGCGCTCGGCTCCTCTCGACTGCTGCTCGGGTCTGCTCGGTCAGCTTCCGGATGAGGAGGCATTCGACCAATTTACAGTAGATAACTTTACAAACATTTTTAACAGGGGCC